CATGTCTCATAAACATGTGGTGGAAGCTGTGGATAAATCATTACGAGATATATTACGTTTCCGATATCAAAATAGTGATGAGAAACCATTTGGAGGTCTGACAATTGTTTTTGGAGGGGATTTCAGGCAAACCCTGCCTATAGTATTAAAAGGTACACGAGCTGATTGTGTCAACTCATCTATTAAGAGATCTTATTTGTGGCAGCATTTGAAGGTAATTAAATTGATTCAAAATATGAGGCTATCACGTGGCAATCAATGTCCAGAAGAAATTCTAGCAATTGCTGATTTCCAGAATTGGCTTTTGCAAATTGGTGATGGGGTTGATTCAGATGTTTTTGGTGAGTCTACTATTTCTATTCCACATGAGTTATTAGTACCTCGCCAATCAGATCCTGTTACTGATATTGTGGGTTCAATTTATGGTGATCTTTTGAGGTATTATTCAGATCATAATTATTTGGTCAGACGAGCTATTTTGGCACCACACCATGATATGGTTTCTGCAATCAATACATTTACTTTAGCAAAATTTCCAGGAGATGAGGTTACATACTTTAGCTCAGATTCTATTGAAGTGGATCCTGGAAAGGAGGGTGTGGTGGATGCTGATTATACATTGAAGGTTGGTAACTTTCCTGATTATGAACTGAAACTTAAAGTGGGATGTCCAGTAATTTTGATGCGGAATATGGATCAAACAGTTGGGCTCTGTAATGGTACCAGAATGATTGTTAAGACTTTGGGGAAATGGTTCATTGAGGTGGAGGTCTTGACCGGTACCAATGTAGGTGATCGTGTGTTTCTCCCTAGATTTACATTGTCAACATATTACAAAAGTCTTAATTTTACTCTCCTTAGAAGACAATATCCTATTGCTCTATGTTTTGGCATGACTATTAATAAAAGTCAGGGACAAACACTTGATTATATTGGCTTATGTCTCCAGAGGCAGGTTTTTAGTCATGGCCAACTCTATGTTGCATTGTCCAGAATTACAACAAGGCAAGGTCTCAAAATCTTAATTGAGAATGATAATGATGAAGACCCGAACTCGATGCTAAACATAGTATTCCCAGAAATTTTTGATTGAGTTTACAAGTTGCAGTGTGGTTTGTGATAAGACATGAGATTAATTTGCTATATTTATTCCTTTGTAATATAGTTTTGTTTTTCTTTCGTTTTTATTCCCCTTGAGGTATCCGGCCCAAACCCTTCCTCCTTGACGTAGTCGGCCCAAAGACTACTGGTGAAATGGTTCCATCGAAATCTCTTGGAACCCATATTATATAGTCGAAAGACTGGGCCAGTTTATTATATAGTCGGACCGGGCTGTTGCCCCCTGAAGTATCCGGCCCAAACTCTTCCCCCCTGACGTAGTCGGCCCAAAGACTGCTGGTGAAATGCTTCCATCGAAATCTCTCGGAACCCATATTCAGCTGCCGTGGCAGTCCATGCCGTGTTTATTTCTTTCTCCATATCGCTTTTGGTTTCAAGCCCTGCACTTCAATACTACATATGCAATTGTGAGGGACGCGTGGGCGGAGGGAATTGCATTGGCAGCGAGTTCCAACTCTAAACTCTAGATTACAATAATTTAAAAGGAATTACCAAATAGCAAGGAAGGTGACAGTAAACAAAGAGCAAAATTATATGATGTTCAAAATATGGTTACATGAAGGACCACCTCAAAAGGATAATAATCTTTCAAAAAATATTTGCGTTCACATATCCATTACGCGGTTAGATAATTCGAAATTAGAGCGAGGTGGACCATTACTAACATTAATCCGATTATATTAATAATACCCTACGCTACTTAGTCATCTAAAATCGGGAACAACTTAACCAAGAAGAGATCAAGACGATTCTCCACGTTGTTCCAAGGTCCGAATGTGACCAAGGCCCTATATGGCGACTCACCAATCATGTTGAGTAGTGAAATGTACTCCACATCTTCCATCTCATCAGGACCAACAACAGCAGACATGACTCGCCGTAAGTAAGCTGATGGAAATACGACCTCAAGATCGGTGATGAAATCTTCAATTGTCAAGTGAAGCAAGTATATGTTGGAGTCGGCATGCCAAGATCTCCTCAATTCTGTGACCCAGCCATTGAAAATGTATGACTTGCCCTGGTACAAGCCAAAACATAAGGAGTTCAAAATAAGACCAAATTAGATGCAAATTCTTTAGATAAAATATAGATTCCAGATAGATAAAATACATGTTATCTGATTCACCTGATTAGCAACATCCAATTGCATAGGGATAAGATCTATCGTTTCTACATTGTCCCAAATTCTTGCGGCAACTTTATATTGCAGATTTGAAACGAAGTCTCCCATGGAAAAAAATCTATAATTTAGATTAGTAGCAATATTAGCAACTCTATCAACAAATGTTAGAGCTGTAAAACTAATCAACTAATTATGTAAACCCGAATATACATAAACAATAGCAACCCAATACATGAATGTGTCAATACAAACATACAAAGTTTCCTTGGAGTATCGAACTAAAAAAAAAAAAAATTATGGATGATAAGATTGTAGTAGATCTGGAGAAACCTAATTTCAAGGCCAGCAAGCGAATGTAATTGATGAGTGGGCTGGAAAAATTGGTTGAAGTTCTTGATGAGAGGAAAGGGGAGATTTTGCCGAGGTAGGGTTTTAGAAATTACCTTTTAGAGATGCTGAGATAGGATTAACGTCGATCAGGCAGAGAGAAGGCCTGGAAAATGAGTGCATGCACTGGAATGGGTTTCCAGTTGCTTTGTTGGCCGGAGAGTGAGCAGAGCAGAAGAAGGCGTCAGGGAGGAAGGGAGTTGAAACGTCTTCGGCTGGGTCTTTACGAGGTAAGACTTTAGAACTTACCTCCTGGAGATGTAGAGATGGTACTAATATCGGTCAGTCAGGGAGGGCTGGAACATGAGTGCATGCAATGGCTTGGTTGGACAGTTGGTCTTCTCGCCGGCGAGTGAATAGTGACGTCGTGACTCGGTGCCGTTGTTGGAGTCCGCGGGAGTGGTGATTCGACGGCAGGGTTGTTCGACGAGGGAGAATGAGCGAGAGTAGTGGGAGAGTCGGGGTTTGCAGATGGAGCGGGAAGCAGGAGAAGCAGAAGATGGTGGGTTGGGGATGTGGATGGTCAGGTTTCTGTGGAGGGACTGGAGGGTAGGTGAGAGCGATGGAGGAGGGAAAGGAAGAAGGGAGTTAAACCGTCTTCGGGTGGGTGGGAGGTTTTTATTGTTTTTTTTGTTTTTTGGTTTTTGTATTTGTTTGATCCAACCGTTGCGATGGCTGTCCATTTGGTTTGGGTATTTTGGGTTTTAACCAAACTCAAACCAATTGGAAAGCTAATTGTTTCTTTTGTTTTGTTTTAAACCAATAAGCCACTAATGGTTTTGGTTTGGTTAAAACCGAAAAACCAATAGAAACCATTAAGAATAAAATTATTCATCCACAAGTTTTTTTTTGTTGTTGTTTCTTTTGACACGCATGCCAACCAATAATTTGTGCTGACCATACAGATATGTTTTTGTCAAATGATAATAAATAAATGAATACCTAACTCTTTTTTTTTTACTTGATGATACGAGTGATTTACTGGCTAAAAAATTCACTACTTCAAAATGGGATTCATTTATTTTATCAATCTGCCAACCCTAGCGATGCATTGTCAATTGATTCATGTTTATGAGAAAATGCCAGATCCTTGGATTATAAACTTCATTGAATATGCTGACTTTCCATTTCGTGCCTTTCCAGATATCGTATACAGCTTGATGTTGAAAGCAGTTCTGTGCCAGCGACCTTTATCATCTTTGAGTATGAAGCAAAACGCTTCTTTGGTGTCAGTGGTAATGATCTTTTCAATAGGACGGGTCAGAACAATGAGGTACCCCCTCCTGATCTACTCCAAATAATTGGTGAGACCAAACTATTCCATGTCAAGTTCAAGATAAATCTCTACCGTGATTCACAAGCTGATTTCACTGTCTTAAAAGTCTTGGAACCCACACAACAGGTGAGCTACTCATTAGATCTTCCAGACTTATAACTCTACTCATTAGGGTTCAGGGTTTAGGGTTTTAGGGTTTAGGGTTTAGGGAAGCAAATTGTTTGGAAGCGTATTGATACTCTATGGACGAGTTAGGTTCTTTGATTGGAGGACGTTATGATGTTTGGTTGGGTATTGTCATACTTTACCATTGTTCAATTAGGGCTTTTATTTGATGACATTCTGATATAGAAATGGGCTTCTATTTTGTTGCCATTCCCAATTTGAAGATTAGTCACCTCTGGCCCATATTGAAAGCCCACACAAAATTCAAAGGCTAGAACATGGAATTCAATTTACTTGCGGTGAAGCCATAGGGAACCCTAGCTCCATTTTTATATTTGCGGTAGACCGTAGATTCCTGTTTGCTTGGTACCGGCGGTGAAATCACATTCGTATTTCCATCTCCAACCAAATTCCAATCCTATTTGCACCATTCTATTAATCAGTTTACCAATCTCGCCCAAACACATATCAAATTTAGCGTTGAGGTGAAGATGATGAGCTCTCAGCAGGAACGAGATCTGAAATTGGGAAATCCAGGAGTCAGAAGTAGCTGCATAGAAGAGACCAAGTTAGAAAGCCCTCTCAAATTTTGTGAGTTATATTTACAAAATGAAGGTCATAGTTGCCTAGAGTTGCAGTTATCCACATTCAGCAATAATCTTCCGCGGGAATCGTCCGAGTGTGTGCAACTTTTCTCCATTCCGAAAATGTAGCTCTGCGTGGCCGACGTGGCTTTTTCAAAGTTGAAGTAACTGCTACTGTCTTCAGCAACTATATATATCAGCTTAGACACAGCAGTTGACAATTTCTGTGCTCATTTGTTTTTCTCCCAGGTATCAATTCACGTTCAATTTTTGTACCTGTAATTACTGTTTTGATGCAAACCCGTAGCTCTTCAATAACCTCCTTTTTTGTTGCTGAGTCTCTAGAATGGATTCCCAAAGCATTCGTGACCTTGAGTCGGAGAAGAAGATTTGGTCAGGTCAATGTCGTGTTTCCAGAATGTGGGTTGGGGTGAATGTACATACAAACAAAGTTCTCCATCTTGACCTCATTTTGATGGATTCAAAGGTAATCACTTCTTTCATGGGATATGAAGATTCTGTTCCAAAATGAGTGCTGTTTTTTAAATTTAGTTTTCGTTTCCATTTTGAAGGGCAATGATATCTGGGTACAAATCCCTCCTGTGTTGATAGAAAAGTTTAAGACGATGCTGAAGGAGAACCATGTTTACATTATCAAGAACTTCGATATCAATACAACTGGACTGAAATATCGACCTATTGGGAATCCATATTTGATACAATTTAGTAGGAAGACAACTGTTCATCATGTTCCTGAAGTTCCTGCAATTCCAACCTTCAAATTCAGTTTCCTAAATGCAAGTCAGATGGCGGGCAAATTGGGTCATGTTGAGATCCTTTCAGGTTACTTCTTCATTCTTACATGTATTTTCAGTTAGGAAATAATGTGTATCTGAATTTATTTTATTAAAATGATTTGTTGTAGATGTTGTTGGTCAACTGCGCACACATTCAGATGCAATTACTACTACCAGCCTTACTCGGAAAACTATGAGGAAAGAGCTCACACTGCAACTGATTGAGTGAGTTTTTTTTATATGTATGACATGAAAGGCATTTAGAAAACTTTGGTTGAATTTGATTGTTCACTATTTGGTTGGTTTTTCTTTTATTTGTTGAGGGAGCATTATTGCACTTTCGATATTCATGTTTGTTTGCAAGATTCGGTTTTTACCATCTTAGATATTTGTTTCAAATTTATGTAGGGGTGATGTTGTCAAAGTAGTTATTTGGGGAAGAGTTATTGAACAGTTTGACAAGATTATTGATGCTCATGGTGATGATCAGAATATACTGGTTATTTCAGCTGTTAGTGTGGGTGACTTCAAAGGTGCTATTATTATTTCTTTCCTTTCTTATGTTTAATACTGTTATTAGTGGCAAGATCAGTGGCAAGACTAGAATGATATTTGGTTTTTGTAGATGAGTTATCATTTTCATCATCCGGGTCAACAGTTGTGTATCGTAACCTCGATATTCCAGCTGTCAAAGCTTTTGCTACCGGGTATTCATCACCGTATTGTGTCTATGACATTGTGTTGGTATTTAGTTTTGTTTAATTATTGATTTTTTTATTGTTCAAATCAGTACTGTGCAACCAGAGCTGCCTGTCTTTGTGGAACCACCGCCACCTCCTGAATTCCCTGTTATTTCACTTTCTGAACTTTTGAAATTACAAGAGGATCCAGACCAGGAGGTTACTTCTATGTTCTTTCATATTTTTTATACTATTTGCATTTTCATTTCATTAGAGACTTATAGTAAACGTATTTGATATTAGGAAATGGTGTTTGCTGTTGAATGCAAAGTTGTTGGAATTAAATCAGGCTGGTGTTATATGGGATGTCCTAACTGTGTTTCGAAACCTATATACCGACAAAATGAGTACTATTGTGTTAGATGCAACAAGGGAATATCAGCCAAGGCTGCCAAGTAAATATCTCCTCTTTAGTTGACATTCAATATTCTTCGTCATTGAATTGTAAGAATTTCCATTAATTTTATTTGAAATTCGTGTTTTGTTCAGATACCGTGTTCAACTTGAAGTCCAAAGTGATTTGAAGTCAGCAGTATTTGTACTCTTTGAGTATGAAGGGAAGCGATACTTTGGATTGAGTGGTCATGAACTATTCCTGAAAAATGGGCAGAATGGTGACTTGCCACCTGATGAATTGCTTCAACTGGTAGGTGTGACCAAGAGATTCCATGTCAAATTCAAGATCAACCTTTTTGCTGATTCCCAGGCTGATTTTACTGTGTTGAGAATACTAGAACCCACCTCAAAGGTCAGTTCTATATCCCTGCAAGTATTTTTCCTCTTTAAATAAGAATGAAGTGTTATGATCACTTTTCTATCTCAGTATTGATCTAGATTGTAATCTTTTTTTCCCAGTCAAGAATCCTATTATAATTTCTTTACTGGCTAATGTTACATTTGGATATTATAATCTCAGGGAGAAGGTTATATGATTCATAAAGATGGATCATCTTCTTCTATTGCGAGTGGGCCTGCATGTTCTCAACCCTCCTCTGATCATTCTGGACAGTCTGGTATTGGAAAATCGATTGAAACACCAGTGGATTCTGATGGAACTCCAGACAACAAATTGAAGAGGAAGATGCCCCTGGAATGATTGCAACGCCAACAAAGAATTTGTTGCAGATAGGATATTTCATTGCATTTATTTTGTGTTCCAGAGTTTGTTATGTGTTTGTTAAGTACTGAATATTGCTGATTTGCACTTGGACTTATGATTGTGAACATATTTTAGATTTGTAGATTTTTCTGAATATTTCAATTGGGTATTATGTAGCCTATACCATGGGCTAACTTTTCTTGGGCTTTTCCATATGAGAATTGGGTTTGGTCCTCTTTACTATTAAAGAGATTTTCCCCTTCATGTTTTGGTGGGTTATTATTTTGTAGTTTAATAAATTTACTTTGTTTAGAAAAGTAAAGGGAAAATATTGGGCCTTTAATTCACTTGATAAAGGAAACATAATTCCTATTGGGCCTCCATTGAATTACAATTTATAGAATATTATGCTTTATGGCTGGATTTATGGATCTCTATGGCCCATTTGGAATGGTTCCAAATTCCATACTGATGCCAGAGATGGTCGTGGTTGCATGCCCATTAAGATTCGAGGTCAGTCTGTTGTTGCTTCGGCCCACTCAAGACCACTGAATGGAGCCCAAGGTCTGGGCTTTGATCCAAACATCCTCATACATTAGCCCGACCTTAGTTTCCCTCCATCAGCTAAAAAAGAGTGTACAATACCAAAAAGAGTTGTCTCTGTTTGTCTTCTTGGTCAGTTGATTTTCACGAAAGGGGAAACCCTAGAATCTTACCCTGCAGCTGCCGCCGTTCTGGTCCCCCATCTCCTGCAGTCGACCCCTACATAATTTATGGCAAGTATTACATATTTATTATATTCTTTATATTTCTTTTCCTTTGTTTTCCTCATTTTGTCTTCTTTCACAGTTGGAGTAAGAAGCTATTGGTACCCCAAATCTTTATCACAACTGATCTGTAGTTTTCAGTGACAACAAAAGGGAAAATGTTGCCGGAAGACCCACATGGTATTTTACAATAAGTTGAATAGAGTTTTTGTCCGATTGCTTTTAGATATAATGACTCAGTTTACCTTTTGGTGTTAGATGTAATGGTTGAATCCACAACCTTTGGTGAGCTTCATCTTGGAAAAAGCAATCGTTTCCTCATGGCTAGATTGTTAAACATTTGGTCAGAATATGAGTTAGATGGATCTAGATCTATTTCCTCCATGCATATGCTTTGGTTAGATAAAGAGGTAAAATTATAAACGTTGAACATCTACTGGTTTTGGTCTTATAACATAACAGTTACTGTAAACTCATTTGTAATATTTTAACTCCTTTAGGGACAACTTATGGAAGGAACTGTGCCGTATGAAGATTCTGCTCATATTTGCAAAGACATTAAGATCGGTTGTCTCTATACCATGATGAATCCAATCGTTATACCAGCTAGATCTGATCGTCGCACTGCAACTTCCAATTTGAGATTGTATTTTACAAAGGAATCTTCATTCAGAACAGAGATTGAATATCGGAGTACAATGCATTTTCCAGATGATTTTTTTTTTCAAAGTCCTGTCAATGCTACTGGTTCTTCAACAAGTCTTCCACCTTGCTTCTCAGGTATTTATTATTTATTCTTAACCATATATTACAACAGGTTGTATTAGAAATTGATGTGTTAAATATTGTATATTCCAAATATCATACAGATCAAAACAACTAAAATATTTACATATTTCAGATATCACAGGATGTGTAACACATATCACCGAACCAGCTAAAGTCAATTCTGATACATTTATGTTCCAGATTTATCTTGAAGATATGAGGTACCACTTATAATTAGTTACTATAATATCTTACTGAATCAAGATTAGTTTATAATTATACTTATACTCTGTTTGCTAAATTTTTAGTGGAAACGAAGCACTTGTGAGCTATATTGGCACAAGAATTAAAGATTTTATTGAAAGTGCTACTGCCAAAGAATTTCAATATCCTTTGGTTGTGACAGCAACAACACTCACCCGGAACATGCATGAATATGACCATATTCCACAGTTCTGTTTTGCAACATCTCCTGGCAGTCGTCTTATAGTACATTCGTACAATCAGATGACCAAAGATTTAATGAACAGGTAAATGGTCATATGTATATGTTTAATTTTAATATATTTTGCATGTTTTTTCCTATAAACAGTCTAATTTAACTTTCAAAACATTCTAGATTCTTTCCTAATAGATTGCCTGTGGATATTATTGACTACAAGTCAAAAGAGCGGCTTGGATACCTTCGGCGAAAAATTCCGCCCAGAATCTCATTATTGGAATTGACCAACAAGCTGCCTTTAGGAGAAGAAGAAACAGAGGTAACTATCATTATCTTCTATGTTTTGTTATACATTTGTGATTGAAGTATATTTCTCAAATGAAGATAGGTTTCAAATTGACTTTTAACAGTAGCAGTGTTTTCAAAAACACCTATTCTAATTTTTATATTTCCCCTATATCAAACTATATGACGGATACTCTATCGGTGCAAACTGAAAATAATCAAATTCGACCTTCGTTCTGTGACCCGTGAAGTTTTCCCTGGAGACACTGAGTATTTCCAAATACCTTTGCTTTTTGATTCCCTATTATAAAAATACTACACATTGACCAAATGTATGTAATCTATATATATTTTCAGATTATTCTATGAACTGCAGGCTGAATGTGAATCAGGAAATCACAAGGCAAAGGTCATTATTAATCATGGACCTGCTCTTGCTCTGCTTCGTAAGCCACCAATCGAGTTTAAGAAAATGCCATATGACAAGAGAATTCAGATGCTGAAAGAATGTTGTAACATCAAATTTATGGCAGAATTATACATCATTGGGGAAGAATATGAAGTTGAACCACAGATTCACATGTTTGCAATTTGGCATCCAAAAGCATTTCAACCATTACTGGATCTTAAGCTGAATTTATAAACACTGTCCTCATTTTGCAATCCAAGAAGGTATATGTCTTCTCTTTTTTATTTCAAATACAAGAGTATATTGCTATTTATTAACACAACTGAGGCTTTACATTTAATAATTAGATTCTACTTCTGTTATTATTTCAGGTGGTTAGTATTGAAGGATGAATCAGCTGGTTGTCTGAGAAGGAATCAAGGCAATGATATCTAGGAGATATGAATTCCAATATTAATTTGTGCATTTCATTTTTTCAGTAGTAGAAAAAATACTTTTTATATTGTTATTGCAATGTAGGTGGTATATTCTGATTTAGAAGAACAGATACTTAATAGATTTCAAGTACATGTATGTTTTTCATTTAGTTTAGTTCTTGGTACGTATTCTGGATGAGGTATTGAAACTTGCTTGATTGTCTTAACGGTTATAAGTTGATTGTATTGTCAATGTCAATAGGTCAAAAGTTCGAAATTTAAAAGTGACGATTTTTTTTTTATTTCAAAATCACTTGATTTAATTTATATTTGTTGTGCTTTACTCAAAACAAATATTAAATTAATTGTGTTAACTGCCACACCCCACTCTCCCCATCTCTCCCGGATATTAATCCCACACCCCACATTAATCCCACATAATCTAATTTTTATCTAATATTATCCCGTGTCCAGTTTATTTGATTGCCGAAGATCCACAATAGTTTTTTTACTTTCTCAACTTCCATTCCCTGGTTTTGGAGAGATGGGGATTATCGAATGGTGAACGTGAATTAAAGCTGAATTCAAGAGATGGTGTACCATTCTTTACGTGAGTTGCAGGTTTCTCATGGGCAACAATGGTCTGTTCGAGTGAGAGTTTTGCGTTTATGGAGGACTTTGATAGCTGATATAGATGAAACTCTCTTCCTACACATGTTGTTGCTAGATAGTGAGGTTAGTACGTCTATTGAATTCCTTATCACGTTTCATGTTGTGTATCATTCACCCAATAGATGCTTCTAACCATTCAAGTTTTTGACTTAAAAACGACTTGCAGGGAACAGAAATGGAGGCTGTTATTCATCGCCTTGAAATCCCGACATTCTTACCAGTCATACAACAAGGAGGAATCTATCGGATTGAAAATTTCGATGTTGATTCTTATGAAGTTTCTTTTCGGGTTGCAATGTCTACTAGACGAATCTCTTTTCATCCTAACACTGGCGTATTTCGACTGCCAAATGCTGCCGACATATCATTATGCAGTTTTCGGTTCCTAGGTCCTGCTGATTTCTTTGATGCTGTTCAAAATGATCAAATGTTTTCAGGTAAGCAAATGATTAACCAGATAGAGATCTCTAAGTAATTATGGTTGATTTTGTTATTTGAATGATCATAACATTGGTTTGATATGATGTGTAGATCTGATAGGTGAAATAGATGTGGTAGAACCAACACAAACAATTTATCACCATGGTGTTGTTCAACGAAGCAAATATATTTTCCTAAGGCTGTTTGAGTAAGGCGTTTTGATTTGTACTCTAATTTCCTGTGTGTTTGCTTCAAAAAATGGGACTAATGAGATTTTAATTATAGGGGAATTACGGTCAGAGTTTTATTATTCAACTCTTGCATTGAGCAAATTGAGGGTCTTAATGAAGCTGATCCAACACCAGGAACTGTTGCTATCGTCACTTCAGTCTATGCCTATATGAACGATAGTACGTAAATATGTTGATGCGTTACTAATACATTTAATGACCTACTCTAATGAAGTATTTGGTTTTTGTAGATCAATTCTTTTTTATAGCCTCATTTGCAAGTAATGCTTACTTGAATTTGCACTATCCACAGCTTCATATTTTGTTAAATCAGTAAGTTAATTTCTTTATATTTAGGGTTTAATTTTATTCAATTTGGTTAGGATAACTCAATTTATATACATTTATAATTGCATCTTCTTTAGTTGGGATCTAAATTCAACTAACATGTTTATCAGATCTAGCAACCTGCTTATTAGTCAACATGATTATATTGACTATTCATTGGAAGCAGCAATGGAAGTGAGTGAAGCAAGTTCTGTTCATGAAATTCTATTTCTATCAACTAATGTGCACAATATGGTAATTCAATACAATAATGTTTGTGTACTTCTTACTTACTTTAGCATTTATTTATATTATCTAAGGAAATTATTTATTTACAAACAGGGAAAGAAATTTATTATTGAGGCAACAGTTGAAGCTGTCGATGTATTTTGGTCACCTACTCTTCAGAAGTATATGGTTGAATTGACATTGAAAGATGGAGCTATGAAAATCAGTGTGGTGTTCCTGTCATCCGACTTTAAGAAAATCGGCAGCCAGCTCTTTGCAAACCCAAGAATCAATTGGACTACTACTTTTGAAGCCAATCTGCGATCTATTACTCACAGATCTCTCATTTTCATGATTGAAGTTGGACGTGTTAATGAGGTCACAAATCAGTGTCTTTTAGTGGTTAGTAAGTTGTTTGGGTAGTGTTCCTCCCCATATATTATTTAGTAAGTTAATGTCCATTTGGTGAACATTTGTAATTGGGTAGGTGCACATTTTAAAAAATGTTTCTGATTTGGTACTTTATTAAATCAGGTCTTTTGATGTTTTTTACTTTGTGGTTTCCAATTGGACTAATGGAATTCTATAATCAGCCCAAAAATAATCACTAATTTAATCCACCTAGCCGGCCAACGGGCCGGCCCCTCTGCTAGTAGTCATATAGTTAAGGTCCATGATGTTAAAAATGAACAGTTTATTATTGTTACGCCTAGACTCAGAGTATGGAAAAAAAATGTGATGTAAAAAGTTAGTGGTCATAGGTAGGGATGACAATGAGTCGGGTTGGGTCGGGTTTTGCCAAACCCAAATTCATAGATTTATTCGTGAAAAAAACCCTAGGGGAAAATCCATTGGGTCTGGAAAACTCAAACCCAACCCAACCCAACCGCTGGATATCCGCGGATTCATGGGTACACATGAGTTTTTGTCCCGGTAAAAAAAAGATTTTTGTCATAAAAATTTTACAATAACAAGTTCCTATCAAAATAAAAGTCAAATATCAATCTCTCAATACAAATTATCCATATATAAAACACCATTCTAGAAAATTCAAGCAAATCACAAATTAACCATACAAATTGTTCAACACCAATATAGAAAACTCAAGAAAATTGAAGCAAATCACAAATTATCCATAACAACATGATTAATTGAAAGCTTCTTCCTCCTTGTCAATCAAGCTTCTTTACTCTCCACCCCAATATCAACTTCAGTCTACACAAATAGAAATAAAAAATTAGACATGTCTTCACAAGCATAAAGAAGATGAGTTGCTTAGAATATTAAATATACTGGAAAATTAATTATATGGGTGTGAACATGTATACATAAACCGAAACCCAACCCAACCCGGTGAATAGTGAACAGGTTTAAACCCAAAACCGGCCCAAAATCCGTCAACACGGGGTTTACCCGCATTGACCGGGTTGGGTGAGGTAGGGTACCCGTGGGTTCGGATTTTGTTCATATTTTACTTAAATATGAATTTTTCTACGATGATAATGGAATTCAAACTTGAAATCTCCAAGTTCAATATTAACTAGGTGGTGATGACGCGCCTTGTCGCGGGGCGGAGATGGTCTATGGACATGTATTTATGAGACCCGTGATGGTGTTTTGTTAGTGTTATTAGGCTAAAATTAATTTTTTGTTAGTAATATTGACTTGACAATATGATACTGAATGATAATAGATGTGAACGGCTATTTGCCGCCAACCAAATTGCTATTTGCCGCCAACTAAAAAACAAATTGAATTCTAATTTTGAATTTTCCCTTCCTTCCCTTCCTTTCATTCTATAAATTCGGATATCATTAACATTTGACTCATTCCAAAAAAACACTTTTGTCGACGAGCCCAGTGCCTCCGTCGCCAGCACCGTTCCTCCCTCGCCTGCACTTGACTTGACAATATGATACTGACTGATAATAGATGTGAACGGCTATTTGCCGCCAACTAAAAAAAAAAAATTGAATTCAAATTTTGAATTTTCCCTTCCCCTCAATTCATTCTATAAATTCGGATACCATTAACATTTGACTCATTCCAACAAAAACACTTTTGTCGACGAGCCCAGTGCCTCTGTCGCCAGCACCGTTCCTCCGTCGCCGGCCAACCTCCTGTCGTCCTCAATCGTCGGAAAACAAGTAAGTTTACTTTTTCCGGCAAGTTTTCCAATTTTCCGACAAGTTTTCCAGTTTTCCGGCGAAAAACACGGTGGCCCGAATAAAAATTGTGGCCGGAACGCCGCCGAGCCGAAAGAAATTTTCGACCGGTGCGACGCCCAGCCGAAAATTTCTTTCTGTCGGTCGCCGAACACACCGGCCAAAATTTTTCCGGCGGCGTGTTCGTCGGCCGGGGCGACGACGGGCCGAAAAAGCAATTAGTGTTAATTAATTAATTAGTCAATAAAAAATTACTTAATTAGTTAATAGAAATTAGCAATTAGTGTTAATATTTATTTAAGTTAGTGTATAAATGTTTTTTTTTGTAATAGGTGTATGAATGTTTAATTACTTACATTAGTTAATAGAAAATTAATTAATTAAAAATTGATTTAACAATTAATGTTAATATTTAGTACATTAGTTAATAGAAAATTAATTAATTAAGAATTAATTTAACAATTAATGTTAATATTCAGTACATTAGTTAATAGAAAATTAATTAACTTGTGATTAATTAACAATTAATGTTAATAGTATATTAGTTAATAGAAATTTAATTAATTAGTGCGCATCTAAGTATGATATTGTGTAAATTTGTAGATAATTAGATATGGATGATGCGAGTGGGAGTCAGTTGCATAGATTCAATGGTAGGATTGTTGATGCATCAACACGAAGGAAGGTGCCTAAGAAGAATAAGGAGAAGAAGCGCTCTCGAGATATTGGACATCAGGTAGAGGCAAATTTAGGGGAGGATGAATTAGAGGCTCCTACTGTAGTTGCTCGTTCGGCATCACGGGCGTCTGGTTCCCATGGGAGGAACCAGGGTGCTGCATCGAGAGTGGTCTCGGCTGAGTTTAATGAGGACGATACTGATGAGGATATCGAGGTCCCTCCACCTACGCGTGGACATGGACAAGTGCCGTCTTGTATGGCAACATCACGTTCTGCTATGTATAGGGACCGAGCTGGGCGGTTCGTACCACCTGCTCGTGAGGAGACAGAGAGCTCAGGGATTGGACGGAGTAGGGGAGGACGTTCGAGTGGTCCTCCACCGTGGGAGCTTGTTAGTGAGTGTCCTGGTGGACCTACGGATCCTAGCCTCATTAAGAGCTTCCATGGCCACGCTTCCTATGCGCTTTGGACGGGGCTTGGAGATCGAGGGGTGATCAGTTGCTACAGCCGTACATCGGCGGTTGATTATCTGGGTAGCTACGTGTTTAGTCATGTTGAGGCGGAGGATCTGGTTCAGCAGTCAGGTCTCCAGCACCTGATCTACTCTATGTTCCGCAAAATAACGATTGACGAGGCTTTGATCTCATCTTTTGTGCAGAGGTGGCAGACAGACACGAACACCTTCCACTTGCCTTTTGGAGAGATGACGATCCTCCTCCACGATGTTCAGTACTTACTGCAGATTCCTGTTGAGGGACGACTGATGAGTAAGACTTCTGCGCAGCTTGACCATCCGGAGGTGGGTTTGTGTGCGGTTCTTGGGATGAATTCGGAGCAATTGAGTGGTCGTTCGGAGGCCCCTGGATATGGTAATAGGGGTAAGTGGTACGAGAAGGGTGGTTTTCTTGCGGAGATGGCGTCCAGATACTTGCAGGTGAACGGGACACATGTGACAGAGGCGCAGTCGTACTTGTTGTTGCTGTTGGGGTCCACTTTGTTTGTGGACAAGAGTAGAGACAGGGTTCGGCCGGTGGTGAATCTATTTTTGGGCGAGTTGGAGGAGATAGATCAGGACAGTTGGGCGTCAGGTACACTTGCTTGGTTGTACAGATGCCTTGGTCAGGCGTCTCGTGCTGGTGCCAGGGGGTGGCTGGTTGTCTCACACTTCTGCAGTGTTGGATCTACGAGTACTTTCCGGATTTTAGGCCATCTCACTTTGAGCCACCTGTCGTTGGACCTGATGAGGCTTGGGCTTCACGATGGATTGGGCAGCCGGCACCTGGTTCTGTGGCTGATCCCAGTGTGAGATTGGCGTTCTACCGTCGAGCTCTTGACAGCTTGACCCCTTCTGATGTGTTTTGGACACCTTTCCATCAGAGGCCTCATCAGGCAGTGCGTCGCTCTTTGTACACTGGAGTGATCCGGTTCGCTGATATAGGCGAGTTCTATGATCCAGCCCGTTGCCTCCGACAGTTTGGATTCCGACAGATGGTACCGCCTCCCCCTTCGCGTCCTCAGCGAGCAGACTGACCAGAGGCACCTGGTGGATATGTCATTCGGATTCCTGAGAGTTTTGATGCTGCATGAGATGCTCTGCTATCCCACATGGTTCATATAGACATGTACTCTCAGCCCTGGAGGACGTATCCATATGAGACTACGATCGACTATCTTGACTGGTTCGTGGCGCACTCTCATTGTAAAGTCCTACGGGATGATGGAGATGCAGATCGACTAGTTGACTCCGCAGCGGTAAGATTTGACCACTAGATCGTTACTCTATTATAAATATACTTAGCGTGAAACTAACAATTGTTCTTGTTTTTTTTTTTTGTGCAGCGTGCTCGCGACCTTTTGTACACGTTTGCACCTGCGGTTCGAGCAGCAGCAGGGACCGAGGAGGAGTTTCTTGAGCATTCACGACGAGCCTACAGGGCACTGCACGGAGTGCAGGATGTGTGGACTGAGTACTGGGTCTCCCAGGGACTCCTCCCTCCAGGGGATTTTTAGTTGTTTTGATGTTTAGATCGGATGTTTATGTTTAGACTGCATGTTTGCATATTTATGTTTAAATCGGATGTTTGACTACTTATGTATGTTTGGATCGGATGTTTATGTTTAGACTGCATGTTTCCATGTTTATGTTTAGATCGGATGTTTGACTACTTATGTTTGGATCGGATGTTTGCACACTCATGATTAAAACATCGAGGGTAGATAATGAAATCCATAAGTTCATGATGATAATGAAATCCATAAGTTCATAATGACACTAGGGCCATTTAAAATACAACTAGAAAAACAACAACATATAAATAGAGCATCGCAACACTATGCATTGCTCCTACCCCTACCCCTTCCCCTAGCTCTTCGGGGGTCTCTCTGCCTGGCTCGTTGCCGACCACCAAGACTCGCAAACAAATTTTGTCCAACCTCGAGAATAGCTCTCCACTCCGCCACATTAGGATTTGCTAGCCCATGCCAAATTGGATGCAGAGGGGGTATGGGAAACTGTTCCTGGTTGAAGTACAATCGAATGTAGTGGTTGTTCACATAGTGCAGTGATAAGAACATGGTTGGTGGCAAAGTACCTGGGTCCGCATCAATAGGCAATACAATATAGGTATCATCTTAGCGGTTGGGTAGTGGACGGTTTGCATTATTGACATCAAACACCTGGTATGTGAAGACCATGACTGCGATGTTGTAGATGGTGGCAAACACGAACAAGTCCTCAGAATCCATCCATCACCCTAGTGGTGCGGAACCTGCCTCGAGCCAATTGATGCGGTCAATGTGAGCTAGTGGACCACCATTATACAAGTTCTCGTACTTCCAGAAATGATGTTGGATTTCTTGGACAATCGTCGATCTCATGAGCAGATAGTGACTATCATCCCCATAAATACAATGAGAAAGTGCCCTAAAACCACAATGGTCGTCTGGACTAGGGTTGAAATCGCCTACCAGCAAAGGTCGAACAAACTCTGGAAAAAGCTCATTGATGTAAGGGTCAGAATATTGCCCTGGGGGGCTTTGGGATGAGTAATCTACAAAAATATACCTGATGACTCGATATTTGCTCATGTTTTCCCCTTTGTTTCTTGATTGTTTGAGCTTGCATTATCGCTTCTTTGGCCTATTTTACGCTAGGTTGTGTTCCTTTGTTACATTTCAGGTCCTAGCACATAAAGTGAAGCATAGACGCAAGTTTCAAGTCAATCAGAGATCAATTGGTGATTCGGGAGAAGAAACTCGGGCTTGACCTGAAGAAGAATGGATTTCTACCTCACTTTATGGACAAAGAATCATGAAAGTTTGTTATGAAAATAAATAAGACGAGACTACGAGCTTTTGGGATCAAACGGCGACTGATTCGGAGTCCGGACGAGGGAGAAACAAAGCATTGAATATAGGGGAACAGGTTCGGCAGTAAAAACACGGGCAGACAACCCTAAAAACACGGCCGTGTTTTATCTGGCACCCGCTAGTGTTTTTACTGCCGAGGGCATGTCGTGAGGGCTGCTGGGGGCAAAACACGGGTTGGCAAAAGTAAGACACGGTCGTGCCCTCGACCGTATTTTGCCCAGAATTGGGTTTTTGAGGCAGATTGTAGCCAAAGGAAAGGGAGAGCTGGGTTTTGGATCCCAAACACCCAAGGGACGAACCAAAGAGAGAGAGGGAGATTTGAGGGCATTCTAAGACTGGAATTGGAGGATTTCTTCGTCTTGGAAGCTCGAGGAACAAGCCCGGACTTGAAGAATGATCATCTGAAGATTCTTACTGCAGTCTCTCTCTTCTCTATGGAGTAACTTCCCTTCACTTAGGTTTTGAGGAACCCTAGCTATGTTTGTTTGATTGGATGATTGTATGAGTACTCTGACTTGATAATCTTGAGTTCATATTCAATCTACGCATGATTTCACGATTCAATTCTGCTTTAGTCGAGATTATTGATTCTGCTTTGATCCTATGAGAGCGAATACCTGATTAGGTCAATAGAGCACCATAGATTGATAGTATTGGATCGATTGCTTTAGTTGAGGGTTGATTCACTACTTTGTATCGATTGAGAACCTCTTTTGATAGAGGGAGTCTAGTTCAGAACGCCTTGATCGGTTGTTCTAGAGAAGGATACGTCCGTCTAGGCAATTGACTCAAGAGGGCCTTGTTCCTTTAGTCGAGACTCAAGGTCTAGTTAAGGATTCTCCGCATTGTGAATGAAAGTGAAACAGGCTAGAGATCACCAATCATTAATCTAGCTAGTGGCTAGGGGGAATCATACCTAAGTGAGTTCCCAACCTGTAATTAGATTAACTTTAACTGTAGTTTTCTAGAGTAGTTTTAGTTCTTTCATCTTAATCTGGTTTGCTAGATAATGAACTGAAGCTGAGTAATAGTAACTCTAGAGACCCGTGGATTCGATATTTATTACTTGAGCCACTATACTACAGTCCCTTTCATTGGTTACACTTGGCCTTTGTCAGGAGTTGTGTCGTAGCGAGTCAATACCAAACGGTCAAAATTACTTGGACAAAATTTGCAAACATAAACCAATTACTACTAGATGGACTATAATATTTAATCAATTACTCACCTGTATCATGCTCGTCGGATTCACCTCCACTCGATCGCCCCCTGCCTCCACTCGATCGGGATCTGCCTCCACTCGTTCGCCCCCTGCCTCCACTCAAACCAGGCCTAGTACTCCTCGAATGAGACCACTCATAATATGAACGAATGCGACTGGTGCTTGTTCGAGGCCGTCCTCTAGGATTCTCATTCACTTCCGGTTCCCTCACATTGTCCTCTGCTGGGTGAAGCCCATAGAATATGGCATCTCTTGCTTGTCTCACTGCTTCAGGACCTCTTTCTTCCACCTCAACAGTAAGACGCCTAAAGTGTTCTCGTTGAAGCTCAATTTCATCATTGACTTGTTGTTGACGTGGGGGGTTTTTATAATCCAAAGTCCGCCAAAATACATGCAACCCTTGAGCATAGAATTGACTTCCTTCTTCCTTATCTTGAACAACCTGGCAAGCACACTTGAGCCCATGTGTCATCTGAAAATGACACGCACAACTGTCCTTCAACTCCGCCGCCCCATCTAACATCAGTTTGATTGCCTCACAACTAACGACCCTCCTAAAAAACGTGCACGAAGGCTCAATTGCCCTACTCAGATCGCGGTTAAGTGACTTGTGCAGTTCATTCACCACTTCCAGAAACTGATGTTCCATGTAGTTGTGGTTCTTCGCAAAACAAGTGTCAATCGCTCCTCTACCAGACACAAGGAAAGTCTTGAATGAAGAGTGAGATGACTCAACTCTATTCGAGCTCGTATTACCAAGATGAAACACATGGTTCGTGTAGCACTTTGCCCACATTATCTGATGAGGCAACCACTCACCTTGCACGTAGTCGATTATTTTTATGTTCTTCTGTGTCCAGACCCTCTCAAACTCATTAATCTTTTGAAGAAAACCCTCCTGAGTCCAACTCCATGCAGCTTTGTCGAAATATTTCTTCCATACCGCTTGTGCTACCTCTCTTTTTGCAATTCCACCCAGTAATTGCTCAAACTTTTGCTTCACACAGTTGTTGACGTGCCATAAACATAGTAGGTGGACAGTATGTGGGAGAGGGAAGACCACATGAATAGAAGCAAGCAGACCACCTTCTTTGTCTGTCGCAATGACATTCGAAACCGTATCACCGAGCAACCCTTTAATATATCACAGCAGCCACTCATATGTTTCCTGCTTAATAATTGCACATGCAATGTTGAAATTCTTCTTGACTGGGGTAACCCCAATAATCTCAACCCATGGCCAGCCATACCTGTTCATCTTGTAGGTCGAGTCAATGAGGATGATGTACGACCATGCATGCAACATCTGAATGGACGCCGGGTGCGCAAAAAACAGATTAGTGAGCACATTATTAGAGTCCTTTTGCAAACAGATATGGTACCCACGTTGTTCAGCTCCGTGAAGCGCAAACTGTATCGCATCCATTTCACCCATCTCATCTAATCTTGTCTTGTAATTTCTGTTGTACATCTGTTTGATATCATGATTCACACCCCCTTCAGTATTGAGTGTCGTCTTCTGCTGATTTGGTCTCACCCCCGCCTTCCTCATTAATCTTAACCTCTCTTTTTCAGCCTCACTAAACTGTTTGCTGTGTCGGTGATGTTCTGGATACAACAACTTTTCATGGTTGTGAAACCCTCTATTAGCTCCGGTTTCACGACTTGTCACTCCCACTATGACCCATGTGTTTGAACCATTCTCTTGCCATACTTCCTCAATACATATCTGAAACTGGCAACCAGTACCCTTCGAACTAATATTCTCACGCGTCTCCTTCGTAGTGTCTGGTTTATAAGACTTAACGATCCTACTGCTTCTGTCGCAATACATACAGAGGGCAGTAACAGGATGTAGTCCAGCAGTATTCGGTTTCCATGCTCCTCTAACAATAAATAACCCACACTCCTGAGCGATTGCTTTTGCAGCTAACTCAGCTAACTTCACACTTGCATAATGGATCCCATTCTCAAATTCATGTGTTTAATCATGATCGGCCGGTAACCACTCTGACATTTTTCCTACAATTACAATATAACACGTCAATATTCCTGTGAACCTAAATGCTAATTTCAAGTCTTAACCGCTAAATTCAACTTCTAAACTCTAAATGCAACTCCTAAACGCTAATTTCAAGTCTTAACAGCTAAATTCAACTCCTAAATGCTAAATTCAACTCCTAAACTCTAAATTCAACTCCTAAAATCGATTTTTTCCGAAAAATTCCAAACACAGACGGTGGGCCGAAAATTTCCGGCGACCGGAACCTGGCCGAGCCGACGGAAATCGGTGGCCGGAGCCAGGCTGAGCCGAAAATATTTTGTGGCTCAGCCAGGCTCCGGCCACCGATTTCCGTCGGCCCGGCCAGGTTCCAGCCGTCGGAATTTTCGGCCCGGCCAGGTTCCGGCCGCCGGAAATTTTCGGCCTCCGTCTGTTCATTGCAAATCGTCGGAAAAATTGTTAGAAACTATAAAAAAATTGACGCACCTGCTTAGTGATGATTCATGGATGCGTGTCCGCAGTTTACGTCGAGGATGGGCTTTCCCGATGGTTTTCCGGCGACTTTTCCGGTGAGCGTCGATTTTTTCTGATTCAATACGTTTTCTGAAAGTTGAATATGTTGTAGATTGTGAAACTTCTTAACCAAGGATGTACATATATACTTCTTTTTTTTTAGTGGGCAGCAAATAGCAAGCCCCTAATAGATATATGGCGGTAACATCCAATTTAATAAATTCTGAAATTTTTGTCTAATAAATGATATTTACCTAAACTCAAGTAGACCCATTGATTATGGGTAGGGCATGAGTGATGTATATATGGGTTTGGAAGTTTGTAGATGAGTTGGGTATGGATACCCATTTAAATGTGTAAGAGTTGGGTATGGATACCCATTTATTCGAGGGTGTTTTAATTACACATACAAAAAATGAGACCTATTTGTAGAACTTTAAAAGTTTAGGTACCAAAATGTCATACAAAAAAAATTTAGGTACTAAAATGTAATGTTCCATCAATATGCTGAGGACTTATGTGCCAAAAAAAAATTAGGTTATAAATCTAAAGATCTATTAAGTTTAGGTGTCGAACTGTAATTTGCATAGTTGAGACTTAATTCCTTTTATGCTGATCTATTTAAGATGATAATTATTTACTTTTTTATAGAAAATGAAAACTATTTTTTGATATGTGTAGATACTTAGCCAAACATTCCATGTATAATTGTTGAAAATTCCAGCTCAGGTGAAAAAGAAAAACTCTAGAGAGAAGCAAAAGGAATACAAACTGGAACTCGCTTAAAATTTCACGCCTTCAAATCTCATAGTGGAAAATGATAACTTTCTAATAAGTAATAACCATATATATTTATTTTTAATTGGACTGGACATTGAGCTGAAAAAGTTAGTGGTTCATGGTTCAATTATTAATTCTCTAGACTGTTGGCGAGTCGTGTATGAACTCGTTCGTACTTGTGATTAGAATACATAAAAATTGTGTAAAAATTAGGGTTAGATGAAGAAGGCAAAGAAAGAAATAAAGAAAGAATTATGGAAGGCGAGTGAAAAATGAAACGAAGAGTAAGTAGATGATGGAAAAGTTTTGACCAATTCTTTTAGTTGGTCGTCAATATAACAGCCAACCATTTTCACCGTAGCAATTTATTGACACTTGCTTATGTAGATGTCGCATATTTGTTACATGTAGTTAGTAGAAGTTTGTTTAGTACCCCGTAAATGTACTAAATGTATTTATAAAATCGCTCTTGCAATATTATAGAGTAGTTTCTCTTTTATCATTTATTTAATGTTTCACGTAATGAGCAAATATAAAATGGTCGAATCTTTTCCTACACTTGAGTAATACAACATTTTGTATGCTACAAATTAAATTTATACTTTTATGTTTTGGTGGATTGGATTCATGAATTGGTTCAAAAGGATGGGTGAATTGGATTCATGGATTCAAGTGAAATCTAAACATTTGAACAATATGTAAATTTTTAAAAAATTATAGGTACGAAAATCTCGTACAATTTAGATACCAAAACATAATTGTTCAATGATTTTACATTAAAAAAATAAATTTGGGGTATCAAAATATAAAATGTATAGCCGCCCAATCAGCTAGCGAGTTTAAGCAACAGTAAACTCACTTGTGCTTTATATATTAAATAAATAAATAATTAATTATTAGTAATACACTGAACTAAATCTTTGTCCGTTTACTTAATTATAAATTATTCAACGAAATTTTTTATAAATTAAGTTAAATACATTTCTCACAAATGTACGCTCAATACTACTTATTATCACATTCTACACCAGTTAAGTTAAGTGTAGTTCCTCGAGTCATATTAACATTTAAGTATTCTTCTAAACATCATAAAGCAACGTAACCTATATTCTTTTTGTCATATTTCTTTTTTGGTCATATTACCAGCAAAGCCTAATCATTCTTCTAGAAGGTTAGTTTTTTCTTCATCTTTATGGTACTGTTTACAACAAATTGAAATTATTGGATGTTTTACTCGCCATCACAATATAATTAAATTAAACTATAGTTTCTTGGGTCAGGCATCACGTGGGAAATTTTGTTCTCATGCACCAAATCGTGGATTACCGCAACGCCAACCATGTTGGACAAACAGATCTGGAGCGGTAGGGACTAGGGAACATGTATTAAATAATTCAATTTATGATTTAAGGTTTCCAGCCAATAAGTTCATTAATTCTTGTACGCCCTGTTGCACAGGAGTGCAAATTGTAGGAGGGTGCAAGTTGAGGTGCAAATTGCTGGGAGGGTGCAAATTGCTGTGGTGCAAATGGAGGAGTAAATTGTTGTTTGGATGAAAAAGTAGGGGGTGCAAAATGATGTAAGAAAGAGTTTTAGATTATTATATATAAAGAGTAAATATAAAATATGAATGTTATATTATACATAGGTAGTCAAATACGGTACGCAAAACTTGTGTATAAAATACGTACGGATATTTTACTTCGTCCCTAACCGAATGTTACGTTTAACAGTCATAAATAAATATAAAAGAAGGAAAGATACAGAACACCATAACAGAGTCTCACTCAAAGAATCAGCTTTCATTTTGAAACCCCCTGTTCCTTTCACATACCAGAGGTTGCACGCCATTGCCATTGGCCTTTACTTCTCCCTCTACCCTCTCTCCCTCTCTTCCCAATTGACAACCATAAAAGCCTCTCTTTCCCAAGCCTGACTTTCCATTGCCCAATTAATCCCAGAGAAAGAAACCAAAGCAGATAAAAGATGGAAATTAAGGTTGCCCCTGCCCCTTCATCTTCTCCCTCCATCCCCAAACGTTAACCTAACAATGAGAACCTATCTAGTGCTAACCTAATGCATTGGATAAAGCTTAAAAAATAAACGGAAGGCAAATAATCATGTCATCTACTAATTATACTAGAGGGAAATGTTATAGCTAAACAAAATTATATACGGACACACTGCAAATATTGGAAGGAACTCAAAGAGGGATTTATAAGCATTCATCGGACCAAAAAAAAAAGGAAGAAATAGCGATTGGGGAAGTGACAATCATGGACAAAGTTGGGGTTTTATCATATTCACCTTCAAAAATAGTAGGGACAAGTCCAGCAAAGTTTGAATGAAGAACCCTTGTCGAGCAGGCCAACGATCCGAAAAACAGAACACCACAACAAGAATAGTAGATCGACCCAACTCCTGTATAACACAGGAGTCGGAGATGAGGATGACAGGACTCCACCGGCCGATTGAAGCCGACGAGTCGGAGTGGGCGGAATCAGAATTTCTATCTTCTAAATCTAGGTTTATGATTTGTTTGGGTGGGATGGGTAGGTCTTTCGCAGTGAATGGCGGAAGAGAGAGGGAAGAGAACAAAGTAAAAGGGAAAAGAAGAACCGTAGAAAAAAAAAGTGGGGAGGAGAAAAAAAATATAAAAGCAAATAATTTTTTGCTTCCCTTCTTTCCGCCCCAAATTGGGGGTTAAGTAAAACAGTATAATTACCCCTTTAATGCACCCCCTACCTACGGTTGATAATTATCCAAACAGGTACATATTTTTTGGGATTCCCATTTACCCCAAAAAACTTGCACCCCCTCCATTTACCCCTCAAAACAAACATAGTGGTAAGGTTTCCGATAAGTTCACTGGAGATCAATCATTGCATTTCTTTTATGAGGAGTGGGTTAGCATGCTAACCGTTGGTTTTTAACACTCCCTTTTTTATTGGTCAATTTTTTTTATTAATCATTTGATAAATATTAATGAAAGTAGACATAATAAATGCAACTTGTAAAATTTAATACTTTTATTAAATATAAATTAAGAATTAAATACACCACATTAATTACTTATATTTTTAAATCTAAATATATACAAAATACAATTTTCTCTCTTATCTAATCCTTCTCTCTCCTATCTTTGATCCTTCCTTTTCCAGCAACCTCCGACCGACTCCTTCCCAAGCCCCTCCCTAGGAGTTTTCAATTTTTAGATATGACTTTTAGATTTCCAAATCTGATTTTTGTATCACTGCACTTAAACTCAAAATATGGTATTTGTACCAGTGCACTGGTAGCACTACCAATGCACTGGTAGCGATACCACTCCACGGGTAGCGATATCAGTGCACTGGTATAAATGTCAGATCTAAGTATCAGTGCAGTGGTACAAATACCAATGCAGTGGTACTACATATCAGGTGGCCGGAGAGATTCTGCCGGCGAGATTTCACCGGCGAAGTGTGGTGGTCAGAGGAAGCTTGGTGGTCACAGGATGTTGAGAAAGGAAAAATCAGAGATAGGAGAGAGAATTGTATTTTGTATATGTTTAGATTTTTTTTAAAATAAGTAATTAATGTGGTGTATTTAATTCTTACTTTGTATTTAATAACATAATATATATTATGTTTACTTTCATTAATACTTGTCAATGATTAATGAAAAAATTGACCAAATAAGTAGGAGGTGTCAAAAAACCAACCCCTTTGGGGTAGACATAGTATCCGACCCCCTTTTATGAATATTAATCTACCACTTATTTGAGTAAATAATATGGGAATTATGCAATGAAATGGAGACAGCTGTGATTTTTCTTATTTTTCTTTAGAGAGTACATGGTTGTTTTAAGATGGATTAATGTGTTCCCATTAATGTCATTGATGACATCATATTTAATGAAAAAATATGCAAAAATCTTAAAAGAATTACATAAAAATGTATGTCTTCATTAATTTATTATTACATGCATAAAAATAATGAACGAATTATATAAATAAATTTTTGTAATCTACCGTTAACTAAATTAGGACTAAAAGCTCAAATGAGCATATGACATTCTAACACTCATCATTGGAGCAAAATCCCTTTCGATTTAGCTACAATGGCCAAAACTAGATCCACACTTTCTCTTTAATTAAGCTGAAATGGTAAAAAAAAAATCTGTGTTTAATCCAAATTATTAAAGTATTTGGTTTTTGTTTGTTTGTTTTTTTTGCTTTGAAAAGTCGAATGGAGCCAAACATGCCAATAAATTGAGTTTCCAAAAAATCTGAAAATATTTTTATAGCATAAAATTGCAAAATATTGTTTTCAAAGTACAATAATTCTTACCGTTTTCCATAAAATAATTTTCTTCCATTTATAATATTTTATACATATTTTGATTTAATATTATTTTATAATTAAATTAAACTTGGGAAATTATTATTCAACCTAAAATAAACCTAGCTGTATTTATTTTAAATATTTCATGTTTGAAAACATTTTGCATCACTTCTTATATTAAAAATATTTTCAATAATTATCAAGCGAACATTGAACCACTTTTTCAAAATGCATCTCTCTAGAAGCCCAAGTCAAAAGATTGTAAAAAAGAAATAAGAGCGCCAAAATCATGTGAGTAAAATTCAGTTTTCACTATTTTATTTACGCAATAGATCTGTTGATATGACTTGAATCGGACTATCAAGTGAAATTGGCTCTCTCTCGCCCGTGGACTAGCTAACACACATCGTGTTAGTGAACCACGTATAAATCATGTGTCCGTATTTTCGATTCTCCCTTTCGTATTCTTGCTTTGTCGATTCCGGCGATTTCCCGATCCGTAGCAGCGCGTTTATAACAAGATCCTTCCATAACACATAGTAGTGATTGCAATGGGGCGGGCGGGTACCTCAATACTCATGTCCCGCTCCATGCTACTACGGGTCGGGGAGAGTAAACCTCGTGCGGATACAGGACGGGACGAGTCAACCCACTCTTACATGTTATTTGAAAAAAAACACACGGAAATTTTACTTTTTAGGATAAAACGAAGGGTATAACACTTTATAAATGAAAATAGTGATAATAGAATGGGTAATTGAGTCTAACAAGTTGAAAGATCGACTCCAGCTAGCTTAGAAAAAAAGTGAAAATAAGATAAATATGTATAAATATTGTAAAAAATTGAGATAGAATGAGCCAAGAACGGGGCGGGACGGGACATGTCGGGTCGGAAGTAGATATTCATGCCCCACACTACGCTACTGCAGGTCGGGTAATACCCGCCCTATTACGAGTTCAGGTCGGGTAATACCCGCAGGCGGGTTCAAATTGCCATAACTAATAACACGGTTATGTAATTCACATTGGTCTTTCACTTTGTAATCTGTACATACTAAAGTATTGATTATATTCTGCCAAAAAAAAAGTATTGATTATATCCTCCTTGGCGCCATGTTTTCTACCAAAAATAAATATTTCAATTAGTTAGAGCAACGGCAGGAATTGCTTTATCCTCCTCCCACTAATTAACAAATCTATTCCGTGTTGAATGAATTAACATAAGAAAGTTAGAGACCAGCACTCCAAAACATAACAGAACTTGCAGACAAGCACTTAAAAGAACTTGCAAACAACCACTTGCTTCCACAGCTAACTACAAGCAAAAGTCTTTGAATTTCTCTTTATCGTACACCCTTTTTTAGCTCATTTGGTAACAAGGAAAACCCTCTATTTGTAGTTCTGATTATATATCAAGGTGTAATTTGTTTGATATTTTTTTCAATCGGTATAGCATTATCTTTTATAAAAAAAAGTACACAAGCTGCTATAATGGCCTAATACTCCCAAAACAACAGACAATTCCAAACCCATCATTAAAATACTAGCTCCCAATCCAAACACAGGGAAAGCGATTTCAGAATCTTCTCTCCGCTTCAAAGCTTCAACAAATCTCCTCTGTTTTCCCCTGTTTCACCTCTTTCCATCCCAATGACGCAGCAAGAGAGATGGGTTGTTGCCAATGCTATGATATCGGCAGTCTTCTTTGCTCTATCAATGGCGACCTTAACAGAGTCGACCCGCCAAGCCGATAAGATCACGACCCTACCGGGCCAGCCAGCGGTCCGGTTCAACCAATACTCGGGTTACGTCACAGTCGACAAGATGCAGGGGAGGGCTCTGTTTTACTACTTCGTCGAAGCGGAGACCGAGCCGGGCTCCAAGCCTCTCGTTCTCTGGTTGAATGGAGGGCCTGGGTGTTCTTCAGTGGGAGCTGGAGCTTTCTGCGAGCACGGTCCGTTTAAACCGAGTGGAGATGTTCTGCTACAAAACAATTACAGCTGGAACAAAGGTTAGTGACTGTAACCATTTTGTACATGATTGTCGATTTAACTTTCGAACCCAGAGTGCGGTGGATTAAGGTTGTACTGATTTGGAATTGGTGCAGAGGCAAATATGCTGTACTTGGAATCCCCAGCGGGCGTTGGGTTCTCTTACTCAGCCAATGCATCTTTCTACGACTCTGTAAATGATAAAATCACAGGTTAAACTACAGTTTCAATTCAAAATATTCTACTGCTACCTTTTCCGGTACAATTTTCGGTGCGGTTTAACAATGATTGAGTTTTATCTTTTGTTTGCGGAGTGCAGCTGAGGACAATCTGGGGTTTTTGAAGGGATGGTTGGCCAAGTTCCCAGAATACAGGGGACGAGATTTCTTCATAACCGGAGAGAGTTATGCTGGTAAGGTTATCAGTAGCCATACAACTTAGTGCCAAACAGAACAGAGTCAGTGTCCCAGAAGACAAATTATCTTTTCAGAGCTTTCCCACTAATAGAAGATAGTGTGTTGTGGTTTTCATTGATTGGTCCTAAATGGAAACAGGTCACTACGTTCCACAGCTTGCCCAACTGATTGTGAAATCCAAGCCACCCATCAATCTCAAAGGAATTGCAGTAAGTAACAAGTATCTAGGTTATCAAATGGCCCATTTTTCCACTTCTTTTTATATGGAAAAGTTAACACATGCGGCATACAACGTCTTATATTTAGTATATCGGTGTACAATGCTTATATGATGTATAGTTGAATCTTCATCAATTATTAGAGTTATTCGGACAAATTGATTTTTACTTTTTAGTATTGGAGTTTTTTTGATCTAGAAGTCTTTAATTTGAATCTCAATAACCCCATATGTTGTGTGAATTACATGATATCCAGACATATGATATCCAGACATATGCAAACTTCAAATCCATATGAATTGACTTTCGTCGAGTTATTTAAACTTACTGGTTTATGACATTATATTTGTGGCTAAACACTATGGCGACTTCTACTTGCAAATGAATCACAGATTGGGAATCCTCTGTTGGACTTCAACACGGACTTCAACTCAAGAGCAGAGTACTTCTGGTCTCATGGATTAATCTCGGATGCAACCTTGGACATCTTTAACACAGTCTGCAACTACTCCCAGATAAGAAGACAACTGCAGAGAGGGTTTCTCACGCCAGAGTGTTTCCGGGTCAACAGCCATGCCTCCCTCGAAATCGGCAAGTTCGTGGACGCCTATGATGTCACTCTCGACGTCTGTTTGTCTTCCATCCAGTCACAATCCCATGTCCTCGTAAGTGCAGCTTGTTGTACGAAATTCTTCGTCTGTCTGTCGATCTTTAAGTCAAGGGTTAATATTATGACGGGGTTGCTGCACAGGAGCGGGCTGCTGCTGCAGGAGTAGGGGAAATTGATGTGTGCGTGGAGGACGAGACGATTCGGTATCTGAACAGGAAAGATGTGCAGAAGGCTTTCCATGGGAGGCTTGTTGGAGTCCGGACGTGGAGCACCTGCAGCGAGTAATTCATTTTCAACTTACTTAACTTAATTACCCTTATGTATGTTGATTCATTGCTTTGGATTAACCCATCGAGTAGTCAACATTGTGCCCTTGCATTGATGGGCCTAATGATATTTTGTTGAGAATGACAGTGTGGTGAGATATGAAATGGACAACTTGGAGGTACCAACGACTCCTATTCTTGGCCAGCTTCTCAAGTCTGGCCTCAAGGTTCTGGTTTACAGGTACATATATTATTGCCTTTTTTCTTCTTTACATTTTACTTTCTTATGAATTCATAATTCTTTTTGGTAATTAGGGATTTGGGGTTGGGTTGAGTTCCAACCAGATGTATGGAGGTTCCGAGACATCATAGTTTGTCTATCTTCTAAGTTCTGGATCCTTATGGGCAATAGAACACAAATTAAAATCACGAGAGCGATAGATAGATTAGCAAACTTTGTTGGCTTGTTAAATGGATTTATTGACTTATTGAATAGAAAGTTAGACCTAGTTAGTAGGAATAACCATCTAGTTATGAGTAGAAAGACCGATCAGTTTGAAGTTCCATAGTAATTTTGTTTAATTAATTATCATTTGAATTAGACGGTTAATTTGATCTAATTGTCTCACTTTGAGACAATTGAGTCAAATTTTTTCATTCGGTTATACAAAAATTAGAGAGAAATTTGGCATGAGATATTTCGGAATAATTCGTTTTGACACAATTACAATTATCTGAAAGTAAGTAATTCCAATTTTTTCTTTCAAAAAACTCATTTTTTACGAGATAATTGTCCATACCATATCGTTTTTCGATTGCCCTATCAAAACAATCGCTCAGATACTCGGCCAGCCCTTTTAGTGTTGAGAGGTTTGTCAAAGCCCGGTCCAAAGTTTGTCGAAGCCCAAACTTCTTAGCCCGTCAAAGCCCAAAACCATTCTGGTTGCTCTAAACCGGCATTGGATGATGGTGGTTTATGAATTATAAGTCAATGATGTGGTTTCGGCCCCTTCTTTGTTTCTGGCAGTGGAGATCAAGATTCAGTGATCCCATTGATAGGGACAAGGAAGCTTGTGAATGGACTGGCCAAGGAAATGGGCCTCAACACCACAGTGCCTTACAGCTCCTGGTTTCAGGGCAGACAGGTCCGTATATGCCCTAATTCGTGCACAATCAACACCCTGATTTCTCACCATTTTTGTTAGGACTAAAAGAACGATCTTTTTTGTTGTGCAGGTTGGAGGGTGGACGCAAGTGTACGGCGACGCGTTGAGCTTCGCAACCATTAGAGGAGCATCCCACGAAGCTCCATTTTCGCAACCAGAGAGATCGCTGGAGCTGTTCAGGGCGTTTCTGGGTGGAACTCCTTTGCCAGCCCACAGTACCGTTGCTTATTGATCGCTACTACTCTGTATAATTGACAAAAACAACGCAATTCAGTTGTTTACAAAAAGATTGGGGAAGAGAAAGAGAAGGATAGGATCACAGTTAAGTACTGTGTTTCTTTCCCGTTGGCTTCCATCACTCATATTACTTGTTGGTTACACACCAAGGTTGTCAACCCGTGGGTTGACCCGGACCCGGTCGAGCTAGTGGGTCAAGGGTTAATGGGTCAACCGTTTTAGCCCGGTTTGGCCCGGAAATATAGAAAGAGTCATTATATTGCACTTATCCTCATAAATTATATCAAATCTTATCTAACATATGAGTTATAACATATAATATTACACCAAAATAACATATCGTACTTAGATCCAACATATAGTGAAAATTCACACACACTTATATAACATAAATATTCAAATGTTCAACTTAGTATTCCAAAGATTGAGTTAGGCGAAAAGGAAAATTGAAAAATAGGCGCATTTCGCAAACTAAAGAAAAAAATGACACAATTTGACCTCCAACCCGGTACCTAATAGCGGTCGGCCCGGCAGGTGCGTGCGGCCCGTTTTTCTCACCGGGTCAGGGTCAAATTGGGTCGACCCGTGGGTCAACCTGCGGGTTGACAACCTTGTTACACACTTACACGTTTGCCACTCGAACCATTTTCCACCTAAGAGAAAAAGACGAACATGAGCAATTCATTTAGGAATAATATATCATAATTCTTGAAACCTTAAACCTAAAGATCAAATACAATAAGAACAATGATCAATGATTTTAATTAGTTGGGACATATCCAACATACCATATCCATCAAATAAGAGATTAAAAATTAGGATATAGGGTTTAGTTACTCGATTAATTAATAGATGCTGTAACTACAAATCCACTGAGAATACATAGAAGTTTCCTTATGCATAAACCATATACTGTAACTCCAAATCCATTGAGAATACATACAATTTTCCACATGCATACACCATTCATTGTTAAATGTAAAGATTTGCTAATTAGGCTTGACTATTGGACAAAGTCTAATCAATTTTATGTATCAGGTGTTAGACAGAAGTCTGGATGTGTAGATTGATACTTGGCTCTCAGAATTCATAATTTTTTCTCCTTCTTGATATGATTTGAATTGAATTGTCTATCATCGATTCGAAGTCACAGTGTATGGGCTTATACATGTTTGGATTTTTGTTTTGGGTCTTGATTGTAATTTATGCTTTACCAAATTACTAGTAAGGAAAGCCCGCGCACCGCGACGGGCGGTCGTTTGTGATATGTGTCGCATTATATAAAAGTAGGCCATAAAAAAAGAATATGTAAACTAATGAAACAAACAACCCTTGTTGCATAATAATGTTCTCTCTGTCCTTTTTCATTGTTACTTTATGATAAGCTTAAAACTTTGGAGTTTCATTTATCAATAATATAAAATGAATGGGCAAAATTCTAATACATGCCATGAGACATCATAAAGTTGAAACCCTTTGTCGTGTACAAATCTCAGTACAGTTCAATATGCATAAATACCCCTTATTATTATTATTATTATTATTATTATCATAGTTATACAGGGAATAGTACATGCCTGAAAAATGTCAATTACTCCACATGCAATGATATCATAAAACTTTTTCATTGCATCCCATAAAGCTGGTTTAGCATAAGTGTGCTATCCCTGGACGCTCGTGTCCTCTTCCTAGTTTGTTCCTAAGCTGTAAAATGCAGCATTTCAAAGAGAGAACCAATTAACAAACAAAACCACAAAACATTAAGGAAACATAAACAAGTGAATTGAGATCCTAGGAAAAGGCACCGACTATAAGGACTACATTAAGAGCTTCATCTTGAAGAACTATGAGATGTAGATTACATTAAATTTGCAGAGGCATGCCATTATTTCTTCTGTTGTCCATTATGCAACAGGGTTCACCTACAGCGAATTAGAGGAGGCATGCATCATGGAATTGGACCGAGACCTGGGCATGACAAAACAATCACAAAGAATAAGGAACTGCATGAGAGACTAAAATAGCAAGTACTGGTGTTCGCTGTGACCAAGTAGTCGAAGGGCGAGCAACGGGTTTTGGGTTATTTGTTGTTGATTGGAAGGACATTAGGTTTACAGTGAATTTGTGTTCACTGATCAACCGTATTGCCAAAGATACCATCAGAGTTCAGAGCTGAAGGTTTATGCTGCAAATGCTACAAAAGATTAAAAAAATCAACCTTTGCCGAAATGGATAGCAGAAATATGTTACAGCTTGTTGGTATAACACTCTGAATTGATAGTGGACGTGGCAAGTAACATAACCTAATCAACAATGGAATTTAGAAATCAAATAGTACAATATAGATTGATGTTGCTAACCAACTTTCTATTAGACCACAGACACTCTAGGCAAACAATGGAGTTGCTGGACAAAGCTTCTAACTGATGATGATCCCTAATTAGTAGAGGACCCTTTTCTCTTTAGAGACTAACTCAACCAAAATTTATGAAATGTAAGTTATGTTTACCCCAGGACATGTAACAAAGATATCAACAACCAAACTCGCTTCTCCTTACAGATTAATTAAATTTATCTTTACTACTATCTCAGGTAGTGATTGATGCTCACACTGACTCAATCGCATTGAGCCCGTTAAGAAAATGGAAAAAACCAAGTCAACACCTCATAGTGCAATCAATTAACTTGAGCTGATAAAAGACACTTCACAAGTGGAAAGCTATCGACCTAGCAGAAATTTCGCATTGAACATAAGTTAATCAATAAGAGACGAAAACCGCTAAGGAAGCACAAATAGCCCAGAAGCTGAAATCGATATGCATTTTGGAATAAACCTAGAATGAAAAAACACTTGTACCTAGCTTCAATTTCTTTGTGGGGCTGCTTAGGATGGTTTGGCCAGAGCTACTTCTTGATTGACAACTCCTTCGCTCGTCCTTCCAGAGATTTGAATTAAGTGTCCAAAATATCATGATTAGGTTCTACTGTCACTAAGAGTGAATCAATGCATTCCCTGAGATTACGACCACAAAATCAAATGCCAAAAATGAGAAAAGGTGGATGGAAAAAGCACTCATCAAAGAAAATTGATCTAGAAAGAGCCGGGATGTAGAGGTTGAGACCCATTTTTAGGCAGAAGAGGCCTTAGTCAGGGCGCTTAAACTTCATGTGGTCTAATAGAGTGATGTCCACAGCTTTCTTAAGCGCATAGGTGTTCCTCTCCTAAAATTGTATAAATAGAATAACCAAGGTAATGATATGATCACAAAAGGATCCCTCATTGAATCACCATTAAATGCCAAAGGTGATATGTTGAGTTGTAAGAAAGAACCTGAAAATTGGCTAAGTTACTTTTCTGATTCAGGTACCCTACTTTGCACGTCTGGAATGTTTTATTGGCGTAATGGAAATTCGAGTTTCAAGGCTTGTATTGAAGCTGGAGGTTCCTTCTACACATTGAAGTGCTTGGCAACTCGAAAGGAAGCCAGGAGTTGCAGTTTTGAAGCCTTCCAAAACCATATGCTGAAACCAAGAAACTGCCAGAATTTGGCTAAGGCAAGAGGAGTGTTCAGGAAGGGTAATTTGGAGCTCATTTCGACAAGTTTAAGCAAGAGTCGAGCTTCAAGGTTTTTACCACATGAAAGTATGCATCTTCTACTACAACGACGTGGCATTGGGTGACTGAAATAAAGATAGGAAGGGCTTGAACAAAAGCTCCAAAGATCGTATCGAGGCTGAGTTTCTGTCTTTGAAAAACAGGCAATCCGAATCCTTATCAAATTAGGATTCCTTTGCTGTTTATGTTTAATTCCTTTTCATTGCTGGTTTTGATTTCCTTTTCCAATTGTATTGCGTTCAGAACTTCTCTAAGAGTTGTAGGATTAGCTAGGTCTATTTAAGTAGTTTCGGTTTATTGTAATCTTCAATTTTTGCTCAATTGAATAACAAACCGAGAGTTTGAGTTCATAAGATCTTGTTTTATGGATTGAGGGATCAACCTAGCCGAATCTAGGTTTGATCTTGAGCTTGTATCGTTCAAGTATCTACCTTGTTCGTGGCCAAGCATTGACGACACCAATCGAGCCTCTTTCCCATCGTGAAAGTTGCGCGAAAGGTTCCACCCCATGCACGAACACAAGACCCTGTTTCTGTGTTCTTTATTGCCTAGTTTTGATTCAACCTTTGGATTGAGTCTTGCTGTGCTTCTCTGATTCAAAACCACTCATCTAGGGGGTTATCAGGTAAGCTACAAAAGCATATAAAAAACAATCCACCAACATAATTAAATGCTGAATCAAATATCCTAATGAGCTTTCTATATTGAAAAGCGATCACATGACTACACTTCTATAATATAGCTTTGTAAACAAAATTCCTGAACCCGACACACATATAAGTCATTCCCCCTTTCACAGATTCGGATGTTAGTGGAAAATGACAAAGTCGGCATAAAAAGCAATGACCATAAACCATACACACATAATGAAGGGAAGAAGTTTCATAAAAGAGATATAAGCAAGGAATAAGTAGTTGGTCATAACCTTTTCTATCGGGCTCTGCAGGCATGTATGAACAGACTTTGAAAAAATTGATTAGTGAGGTTTCCATCAATGTGACATTGTCGTCTCCGGCGGTAATGGCTATCATATTTTCTATTTTGGAATCATGTGACAATAGTGGAATCCAGACCATAAAATAGATAGATATAGTTTGTTGTGTAAGATGGCAGCATCAACCAACCTTCATGTTTTAGGTTTGAATTTCATTTGAGGCAACTACAAAGTTAATCCAACTGAAGATATACAACATAAATGGCAGTTCTTGCAACAATCTGAGAATGCATTAGGAAAAAACTGAGGGGAACTTAATCTAGAAAGAGTAAGTTTTCATGGAAATATGTAGGAAAAAGAAATGCATAGCAATGCATGAGGCTCCACCATTTAATCAAACAAAAACTACAACTTAAACCAAACCCAAAATGAGAATTTTAATCTTACATACCAGCGAACAACTTGTTTTTTGTTCTTATGAAAAACGGACATCGCACACCTAATCGACATAAGACTAACGAAAAATCAAAACAAAATCCACAATGAAACATAAAAAGGGAGACATATCTTAGCATGGAATTGAAAACTCACTCGGGCATAATTAAGACTTTCAACAATTATGGTGGTAGTAGCTTTGCCAATCAATTCATAAGCTAGTTGGTTGCGAAAAACTTCTAGACCCTGATGTACACCTTCTGCACAGTCAAGGCATGAATATAGCGATCAGCACCGAGACCCTATTCAAGCTTCCTCGCC